ACATCTATTGTAGCAAATTGAACTATCATTTCAATAGAGTTATCTAAAATACCATCTTAAAAGTTGTACGCAATTATTTTACATTCACTTTAATTTGTATTGATCATTCCTTATTCATTTATATTGTTTCGCTTTATTTGTAACTATTTCAATGCAGTAATGACAGGACAAGGTTCAGAACGTCCTGATAAAGGAAAAGGGGGTAGCAAGGCCTGAAAAGAGTCAACGGCAGGCACCAAAGTATGTACTTAGGGTGCTTGCTAAACTACCTACCACTGCTGCCCCCAGTCCATCATATGTGGGGCCTCCTCCTACCCCTACAATACAACCTCCTACCCCTGCAGTAGACCCTATTCATACCTCTGCAATACACCCTTATCCTACCCATACAACACACCCTTCTCCTACCCCTGATGCAGACCATCTTCCTCCTCCTGTGATTATAACCCTCATTCCTCCCCCTATGCTTATTACCCCCACTCCTCCCCCTGACCCTACTTCTATACCTTTCTCATCTTGTATACCGCCTTCTGAGACTGTCACACCATCTGCTGATCCAGATTCAACTGGTGATGGTGAAGGTCTTGACCTGACCCTCCATGATCGACCATGGATTCAGCTGTATGGTAAAGGGTAAGATTTTAATCCCTTGTTTAACCATTTGGATGTTTAAAGATTGCATTAATTCAAATGACTTTTATTATGCAGGTTTATTCCATCTAGGGTTGCTTCCCAGGCCATCACACGTTCAATTAAGCAATAGTTTTTAATTCCATGGCCTACTTGGGGAGCAATACCTGATGACGACAAAAAGCCATTCTGGGAGCGTTTTCAGGTGAACAATTCATTAAACTAATTGTCATTCTTATTTTAGTATGTTCATTAATCAATGTTTGTTCTATTTAATGTTACAGATAAAGGTGTAGTGGAAACCTGAACATGAAACATAGATACAAAGAAATTTCCACATGAAAGCATCTCATCGGCTGTCAGAGATGTTTAGGGATGCCCGCAATGCATGTTAGCTCCCTTACTGTTTGTGCGATCAAATTTGGAACTCTTTACTGGCTCATTGGAATTCAGTAGAGTTTCGTAATAAGTGTGCCAAAGCCCAGAGGAATAGAGCTTTTAAAAATGGTGGCACCCTGCATACTGGTTGGTCGATCACGATTCATGAGCATGCTATTCGTATGGTAAACTTTCATTACCTTTTTGTTTCTTTCATATATAAGTTATGTATTTTCTATTTCATATGTACACTTGTAACTATAAATTATGTTACAGGCACAAGCTTTGGGACGGGCGATCTATGTTGATGAGGTCTTTGCACAAACTCATGTTCGGAAGGGCACTAATGAATTCGTTGATGAAAGATCTCAAAAGACTCATGTAAGAAAATAACACTATTACTATTAGTAATTTTTCATTTATGTTATTATATCATTCCCTAACATTGCTTTTAATGTTTGAACAGGAAGAATTTTCTATGAGACTTTCACAGGTTAGATCCGAACATGGGTCAGTTCCTACACCGGATGATGCTAGTAATGGAGAAGACGACATCCGTAGGACACAGTGCTAGGTCGACATCGTTGGTGTGAAGAAAAAGTGCACGGTGCAGGACAACTTGCTGCAAACTATACAACATCGAGAGGAGGTACTCTGAAGCACCAACCTTCTTCTTCCATCATTACTGCTGACGAGGTCGTTGTCCGCCTCATGCAGGCACTGGAGCAATGTGACCAGGAAATCACTTATTTGAGAGCAGAGTTTAGAAACTTTAAGGCCTTGATCATGAGAGTGTTGCCTGAAACTTCACAGGATCAATTCAAGATCCCTCCGACCCAACCACGACCCTCCCCGTCACCCGCTGTCCCTCAGCAGCCCACATCAGTCCAACCCTCATCAGTCCACCCGACATTAGTCCAACCCACACCAGTCCAGCCATCTACAGAGGAGCATGATGATGAAGATCATTCTGATGATAATTATGTACATTATTAGTTTTATTTTCTTATTAGTTGCTATACAAACATTTGGATATTAGAACATTCAGAGTTTAGATCATTTGGATGTTAGATCAATTGGATGATTTGGATGTTAGAACATCATTATGTTACATTGTTTAAATTTAAATCGATTAAAAGATTAATAAAAAAACACAATTTCTTACATTATTTAAATTTAAAGTAGATTAAACATTTTTGTTTTAAGATTGATCAATCAAAATCTCAATCACAAAAATATTGTTTGATTATCTTTATTCAACAACAGGAAATTTTTTTTATGTGACAATACAAAAAACATCGATAAAAAATACAAATGATATTCAAGAACTTAAACTATTGACATAAAGAAAAGATCGAGACAAGTAACTTTTATATTAGTTCACTTTTGCAAGTTATATCCAATTGGCCATGCAACCACCTAAGTACAACTTTTCACTTAAACAAAAAAAAAATCCAATGTACAACTACACAATTCTTGAAAGATGAAATAAACCTTACAAGAAGTGCACTACCATTGCAACATCTTATTGCAACTTGGACAACCTTCTAGAAACACAGAAAACAAATAAATACAAGGCTAAGAAAATCAAACTTGAAAAGTTCTTCTAGCTTTCTCAAGACGTATGCTTGCCTTAAGAATAAAAGAGTATAAGCAACCACAACCTCACACTATCCCAAACACCTTCAAATCACATAACATGTTTTTCTCAATCGAAAAGTGCTTCAAGAGTTTCAAAAAGTTTTTTTCATAACCTACACTTTCATTGAGTCAAAGTTTTGTTTTAAAAGATATGTTCAGTGACATTCAACCGGTTAAATTTAGCTACCAATTGATTAATTTCATTTAACTAGTAAAATTAGCTTATTATCAATTAGTTTAATTGATTGATATGTTGTTACATATCCTATTTAGAGGACAATGCATTATTAACATGTTAAAACCTTTTTTAAAGATATTAAGAAACCTACCCTAAAACAAACAAAATACTCATGATATTTCAATGAGTAAAACCATTCCAAATTAATTAAAAAGTTTGTCAAGAACATTTTAATCGATTTTGTTAAGGTTTTAGCTTGTTAAAACATATAAGAGTACAACAATACCTTTACATGACCTTAAGTATAATTGAAAAATTAATAAATAATTCACATTGATCTTTAAGATGTCTTCAAATGTTGCTTTTGGATTCATCAAATCATATATTCATAGAAGTTGTACGATAACAAGGTTCTCCCAACCTAAGTCATCATATTGTTCCATCTTTGACTTTACCTTCAAGGTTCCTAGAGTTTGATGAAACTTTGGTTGAGATTCTATAATAAGGTCAAAACAAATGGAATACATCTGATGGATTGATCAATTTACAAATGTTAATGGAGTTTGGAAAAATGATTCTTATATTCTTGAAAAAATAGTAGAAAAGAGATTGTAGGATAAAAAATGGAGTTTCATTTAATATCCTTCGGTCATTCTAAATTGTTGACCAATAATACTAAATTTGTTAAACAAAGACTAAAGAAGTTGCTTGAGGCCATATAAAAATTTGTGACATATCAATTCAGAAGAATATTTCTAAGCACAAAAAACCTAGAGGTTGTTGCATACAAATTTCTTTTTAAAATCAACATTAAGAAAAAAAATTTTAAAATCTAGTGGATAAAAAGGTCGATGTTAAAAAGTAGTTATAATTATAAATAAACAAACAAAAACCATCTTTCATTTGGAGAAAAAGTGTTATCATAATCTAATTTACAAATTTATGCTTAACCTTTTGCTCATTGGATAAACTTTGAGGCATTTAATAATATCATTAATACCAAGCAAAAATCAATCTACAAGGAACAATATATTTTCCAAAAGATAAATGAACTCTTTTCTAAATTTTACTATTATAAAGAATACTTATTTCATTAAACATGACTTGATGCTAATCATGATAAACTAAGACATCACCTATTAATTTTAGAATTTACATATGAGAAATAGAGGAAAGAAAATAAAATTATAAATATTTATACAAAATATACAATAATATTTATACATATAATGCAAAGAGGAAAGTTTTTCTAACCTAAAACTACCGCTACCACTAAAGAGCTATAAAGAAGAAAAAGATAAACCTTAATATTTTTCATGGATAATATACAGATAAGGAGGAATAAACTTTTATAACATAAAAGATGCCCACAAGTGTATAATAACCTTACAAGTGTTTTTGTACAAATTTTAAAAGAATTTAAAATATAAACTGAATAATATTAAAACATGTCAATCTACAATTAGAAAGGATAGAATAATAAAATCAACTTTTAAAATAATATCGTAATATTAGCTTTAATGATGGAGTTTTCTTGAACCGTACGGAGTTTAAAAGTTGAGTTGTCCATGAGATGAATTCATTAATTGTCGTGAGACATATACAAGGTAGTGTTTGGAATATGTTAGATTAAAAAATGAGTTAAATATGTTTTTAGTCCCTAAACTATTGGTCGTTTCTGGTTTTCGTCCCTCTTTCAAAGTAAGGTACAATTTGGTCCTCATTCTTTTCGAAACGTTCGTTTTAGTCCTCGAAACTTTGGTTTTAGTCCTCATTTGTTGCTAAATGCGAGAGAGAAGTAGAAGGGAAAGCATATATGTGCACACTGAACTACATGGAAATGAAGGATGAAACACTGAATTTGAGCCTATTTTCTACGTAAGAAGGGAGCCCAATAACTCCAAATTTTCCCCATAAAAGAAGAATTTGATTTAGTCTCATCACTGAAATAAATTTTCATCTTTGTATATCACTAAACATAATTTTGTCCTAAAATAATGAAGGTGGGGTAGAGAATTGGATGTCTTTCTTAGAGACTTTTTTTTTACTTGTATAAGAACTTCTAACTAGTATTCACTCCATGGGCCCTTACAAATTAAGGATATTTTGAGATCATGTTACAAAACCAAAAAATCACTTAAAAAACC